TTCTTCTTCTTCTTCTTCTTCTTCTTCTTCTTCCCCTTCCTCACTCCTTCGTTCTTATTCTTCTTCTCCTTCTTCTTCTTCTTCTTCCCCTTCTTCTTCTTTCTCCTCCTCCTCCTCCACCACTTCTTCTTGTTGTTGTTGTTGTTCTTCTTCTTCTTTTTCTTCTTCTTCTTCTTCTTCTTCTTCTTCTTCTTCTTCTTCTACTCATCCTCCTCCGTACTCTCTTCCACGACATCATGACGGGTGGTGGCAGGTCTGGAACGACGAGGGGTGCAACAGCAGCAGACCGAGGAAAGGGCAAAGGTAGAAGCACCTCCAGTACACCTGCGTCGACGGTGACCTTCAAAGACCCCACACCGGCAACGGACCCGTCACTGTTCGTTCCACAGGACGAGACGAGGCAGGTCAAGCTGCAGAAGGAAAAAACGGCGTGGAAGTACGCGGAACAGGGACAGGAGGTTGGGCCGAATGCACGAGGCGAGTATTGGGTGAAGTGTCGGTTATGCTCGCAGATTTGGAGGGGCACAAGCACAAGGGCGATCGAGCATTACCTGAAGCCGCAGAAGCCATGTCCGTTGAGAACAGGGGAGATTGTCAATGAGCTCGTCACTGGCGGGGGGAAAGTGCACTCGGGCGACAAGAATACACGGTACCTCCTAAAAAATTACAGGCAGCTGCATGGAATTCCGGAGGGGGGGGGTCGTTGCAACGGAGACAGCCGAGGTGGAGGACGATCTCCCCGGATACCTGGAGCCACAACCACCGCCCACTGCAGGCAGGGCTGCTGCAAAAACTGACGCGGGAGCATCGCAGCAGGTTAGTGCTCCGGATGGGGGGTTGGGAGAGGGTTCAGGGTCGAACACACGAGTGTCCACACTGCAACAGTCGACAATAAGGAGGTGGGTGGACAACGACGCGCAGAAAAAACTGGACGTCGCGTGGGCGGAGGCCATGTTTCGTGTTGGAATTCCATTCAACTTCGTCAATTTCGAGACCACTCAAAAACTCCATGAGGTGTACTTGCAGGTGGCAAACGCTAGACCGCAGGTGAAATTGCCCTCCTACAAGCACATGAGAACCGTGATGTTGGACTTCATCTACATGCGTGTACAGAAGTCTGTGGAGCCTTTGACAACTTGCTAGGATGTGACTGGATGTACTTTCATCACAGATGGGTCGAGCGATCGTAACGAGCGGCCGGTGATGAACTTCTTGGCTGCTGGGGAAAGTGGTGCAGTCTTGGTGGCAACGGTGTCAATGACGTGGAGGAAGAAGACCGCACCTGCATTGGCAAAATTGTGGGAGCAAATTATGAGGGAAATTGGGGTGCATTGCATCAATGCGATCTGCACCGACAACGCGGGGGTGAACAAAAGGGCCGCTCAGATCTTGGAGCGCCGAACAGACAAGGACATCGCAAGGATCCCATGGGTTCCTTGTGCTGCGCATTGCTGCAGCCTTCTTCTATGGGACCTCAACAAGCTCGATTGGGTTAAGAACACTGTGAAGAGGGGCCACACGATCGTGAAGTTCATCAGAAATCATCACAGCACATAGAGTCTGATGATGTCCTTGGATGATTCGTTGTCTCTGCTTCGGCCTACAGGGGTTCGCTTCGGGTCTGTCTACCAAATGTTGGAGAGGATTCGCGATAGGAGGGCAATGTTGAAGGACATGGTTGATGGACGAAATGCAGGAAAGTGGAAGGCGATTCGGTGGTCTACAGCGAAGTTGAAGGCCAGAGCGGATTTGGTGTACTTCACTTTGCGGAATGACATTTGGTGGATGGAGTTGCACAAGGTGACTGAGGTGATGGAGCCCGTGTACAACCTTTTGAGGCGGATGGATAAGGATGGGACTTCTCCCACAAACCTCGTAGAGTATGACGACCTCATAGAGAGGAAGTTCGCGCACATCGTTCTAACGGCGGGGGAGCGGGCGAGCATAATGGACAGAGTCAAAGATCGCATCAAGATGATGCGGCAGCCCGTCCATGCATTGGCATTTCTTCTGGACCCATACAGGAGAGAGCCGAGGTGGCTGCACGATCAAGACAACGCGCTTATGCAGAATGCGATGCGTTTCCTTTCGAGGCAGATCGGAGGTGCTTGGAAAGGGCCGGAGCATGTTGAGATTTGGGGTGACCTGGCCGAGTTCCACTCCAAGCCCACAAGGAACGGCCCAAAGAGGAAGAACACAAAGATGTGGGACCCCACAACGAAGGCAGATGTTGAGAGGAAGACACCGTCAGAGTGGTGGGCAGCACATGGTGGCGATGTGCCCGAATTGCAGAAGATTGCGATCAAGGTTATGGGCATGTGGAGCACCGCATCACCGGCGGAGAGGAATTGGGCTTCCATGGACTTCGTCCGCTCCAAACGAAGGAACAGCTTGGCGCCGGAGAGCTTGGAGAAGCTCGTCTACATCCACTGGAACATGCAGCTGTTGCGTCTTCCGGAGACTAAGGACGGGGGCTATGTGGATTTGTGGAGTTCGTTCGTCGAGCCCATCCCGGAGCCTGCAGAGGACGACGGATCATTGTTGAAGGGGCCCGAGGACGAGGACGAGGCCGAGAAGACAGAGGAGGAGCTTGTTCGGGAAAGGAGGCTCGTGAAGACTCCAAAGGGAAGGATTCCAAAGAATCTCCAGGACGTTGAGGAAGAGCACACGGACGATAGTGATTTGGACGATGAGCTGTAGAAGGGGAAGTGTGGAGCGTCAGACGATTCAAGTACCAGCGAAGAGGAGGCTGATGTTGATTCCGATTTTGAGCTGCAACGGGAGCCTGCAGTCCCGAGCACAACGTATGTAGGAAGGAGGCGAACTGGACGACAGCGTAGAGAGGAGCCGCGCCCGACAGCAACACTGGCCACAGCAGGGGGAACAGGACAGTACGATCCGCAGCTCGACGTCAACTTTGCACAGCCAGTTACGGACCTTGAGATGTTGCTGCAAACCGGGGTTGATGAAGATGAAGAGGATGCCAACCGTGCCAAGGCTATGGTTGACAGGGACAGCGACCTAGTCCGAAAACGGATGATGGAGGAGGAGGCCCGCCATGCAGCTGTCCCAAACCGCAGAGAGATTGAGAGAGGCCAGAAAAATGCCTTGGAGCATCAACAACATATGGATCGGGCTTTGGGGGTCGTGGAAGAGGTAGAAGAGGAAGAAGAGGAGGAGCAACAGCAACCAGAGAAGGGAGAGGAGATGGAGCGACAAGAAGAGGGGGACAACGTGATGCAACGAGAGGAGGGAGAGGACATGGAGCAGCAAGAAGAGGGCGAAGACGTGATGCAACGAGAGGAGGGAGAGGACATGGAGCAGCAAGAAGAGGGCGAAGACGTGGTGCAACTGCATGAGGAAGAGGAGATGGAGCAGCAAGAAGCGATCGAAGACGTGGTGCAACCGCATGAGGAAGAGGAGATGGAGCAGCAAGAAGAGGGGGAGGGCATGGTGCAGCAGGAGGTGCAGCATGACGTGCTTGGAAAGGCCCACGAAGACAAGCCCCAGTCCACAGCAACAGCTGTGTACACACGCAGGCCACGACCAGCGGACTCTCCGGAGTCCGCGGATAAGATGCCGAAATTCCCTGAGATAAACGAGGCTGTCCAACATGACAACCTGTGGGTGAGCAGGGTTGG